ACTTACCTCTAAAAATACAGCCTAGGACCCCGTAACTACGGCACTGCCTCTCCTGGTATGCCCCGCAGAGGACCTTAAGGTCCATAAATAGCAACACCCTAGAGGTCCCGGGCCCTAAGGAAGTCAGATTAGCTTCAACCAGAGCCTTTTCAACACTGGCTCCGGCCTGGTGGAACGCTCTGCCTCTTGAGACCAGGGCCCTGCAGGATCTGATTTCTTTTCGCAGGGCCTGTAAGACAGAGTTGTTCTGCCTGGCCTTTGGCTTGGAATCAGCCTGATCCCCTCCCCCTCTTTCCTTTTTCCTTTCTCCTTCTGTGATGGAACTCCTATTTGGGGACTTCCTTGGCTTTTTTTCTGGCCCATGTAGGACCAGTCTGGATTGTTGGCCTTGGTGAAGATTTGACATTTTCACCCCGAAAAAGTTTTTGATTTGAGTTTCTACTGAATTGAGGCTGCATTTTAATGTTGCATTTTAATCTTGTTTTTAAGTTGTGTTTTAATCAATTGTTTTTATACCTGGTGTTAGCCACCCTGAGCCTGGTCTTGGCTGGGGAGGGTGGGGTATAAATAAAATTTATTATTATTATTTATTATATTTCAACAGGAGATATAAGAAGTTGGATCCTGCTGCATATAGGTGCTTCTTCTCATGCAGGAATGAGGGGAAAGTATTATTATTATTATTATTATTATTATTATTATTATTATTCCCTACCTTTCCCCCCTGACAGAACTCAAGGCTGCTTCCAGGTAAAAATAAGAATTGCTACTGAATCTTATCTATGGTGAACAGGTATGCTATGACTCAAAGCAGATCTGAAGATAATAGATTTGGCACCCTGGCACGAAAATTAATGGGACACTTGATTGCAATTTATTATCTGTAATTGTGATGCTCCTTAACAATGAAAAACAGCAAAATTTCCCATAACTTTGCATTTTTTCGCAATTTACGAAGTGACCTGCCTTTTAAAGGGTGAAGAGAGCATTCAACATGGCGGTTCCAAAGCTTTGCCACTTTTTCAAATGTTCCGCTTGTGGGATAACCAGCCTCATGTAACCTACGTGTTGAAGTCTAATTAACACATGAAGGGGTTAAGACCATAGAGTAAGCAGTCCTGCCAGCCTTAATTAGGTCACTGCTGCTCACCTTGGAAGAAAGCTAATGAAGCCTATTGTTCACCTTCAGTGTACCTGAGAAGCTCAGCATGTAAAGAGGTCTGAGCTGGTTGCTCAAAGCTCAGACCCCATGGCTCTAACAAGCCTTTCTTATACTCCTGAACCAATAATTCCCAAACTTCCACCACTGTAACAAAGACAAGTTTTACTGTTGTGTTTTCTGAGTGATGTATGGAAAAGCACATAAATCTGAGATTTGGAGAGTTTGTAAATCCATTTTTAACTTACCAAAAGTGGTCTTTTCCTACGCTGGGAGAAGAGGGGAGTTTTAGAACTCACAAGGTCATATTTTTAAATCTCTGCTGGGATTCTCACCAAAGAGCACTTGTTCCAAACCTGGACCTTGGCATCCAGGAATTCTCCCTTTATACCTATTTTTCCTTACCACCAACACTACTTCCATTTGAAAACACAGCAAAGCCTTACACATTAGTGGCCAATCCTGAGCTAATTTTCCTTTATTTCACTGCGGTTAGAACTGTATCTGTGTGTGGCATGGGACTGCAGCCACTTAAACCTCTGACATTTATGACTTTTATCTAAAAACGTTTTACTAGCCTCTGACATTTTGGGAGCTGAACATGGATATATATTGGTTGGAAAGTTCATTTTATTGATGTGTTGAACAAGAGTGCCATCTAGTGGGAAATGTTATTTCTCCCCACCCCTTTCCCCCCAATTAATTTTTATTAGCTTTCTAATTTTAAACAAATTAACAACAAATTAATACAGATGTAACGCAAATTTAAAAATTGACTTTCTGCCCCTCTTCAAAATGCTTCTATTCCCTCCCTCCTTCACTGCTTGCAGTAAAATACCTTTTCTTAATTTCTAATACTTTCCCATCAATTCTTATTTCCATCAGCTGTGCATGTTCAATTCCTGTTTAAACATCCACTTGACTATTTTCCCAATTAATCAAGCAGAATTATTTTTCCTTTATCAATCCGTATAACTCACAATTCTAAATCATATTTCATCCAATACAACTTAATCTTCAACAAATGATGTATTCTCAAAAGTCAAGTACATGTCCATTCATCCCTAACTGTTCATAATTTATTTCAATATTGTCCCACTACATGTTTGAAAACTTTTATTGCAGTATCGTTTGATTATAAAACATTGTACAGGCACCTTATCCACAAGATAGTTCATGAAACATGGTACAATGTAAACATACAGCATCAGCACTGTATTCAAATGATGTATGGTAAGATATTTGCTACAAAATATTGGTTTTCCAGTGGAATTCATATATGAACACAAATTAAGAAAAAAAATTCTGCAGTTAAACAGCAATTCAAAATATATGACATATAAAAAGATCACCAAAAAATGCAAATAGACAAACAAGACTATTTCTGACTTTACAGCAATGTGGTTCTGAAAGATATTTAAAAGTCTTCTAAAATATGACTGATGTGATGGCATCTTCAGATCAGTAGGTCCAAATTAATGGATGTCTATTATTAAGTGTATGTATAATTTTCCTAACCAGCTAGGAAACTACACTGCCAGACTGAGAGTTGGTGACTTGCCCATGGTCACCCAAAGATCTTCATGGCTGTTCCAGGTTTTTAAAAATACAGGCATGATCTCTGGGTTGACACTTAGCCATTTTACTACAGTGGTACCTTGGTTCTCAAATGCCTTGGTTCTCAAACGCTTTGGTTCTCAAACTCCCAATTTTCCAATTTTCGAACGTATTTTGGAAGCTGAACATCTGATGCGGCTGTCGCCTATTGTTTCCAGGGCACCTGCACCAATTAGAAGCTGTGCCTTGGTTTTTGAACATTTCAGAAGTCAAATGGACTTCCGGAACTGATTAAGTTTGGCGCTTTTGTTTTGGCTATTTATTTTGTGTTTTTGTTTTTGAGGCTTTTTCAATTAATGTGTGTTTGTGGAATCCAGTTCAGCTAGAATACTGTCTTATTTATTTTATAGTACAGTACATTGATTATTGCTTTCATTTTATGGATCAATGGTTTCGTTAGATAGTAAAATTCATGTTAAATTGCTGTTTTAGGGGATGCTTTTAAAAGTCAGGAACGGATTAATTCGTTTTGCATTACTTTTTATGGGAAAGTGCACCTTGGTTTTGGAACACTTTGGTTTTGGAACGGACTTCCAGAAGGATTCAGTTTGAGAACCAAGGTACCACTGTACATGGTTATACATGACCCATTATTCATTTCAAACCTAGATCTCTGACAAGGCCATTCCATACATTAGTACCACAGAGATCTGGGAGCCACTTTCCTATGGCTTCTTTCCATGCTTCTTTGGTAACATCCTAATAAGGAGCTGTGCTCAGGGAGAGCAATATTCGCATGCAAATGTTGCCTGTTCCAAACTGCTTGGTGAAGTTTGCATGGGAAGGAAGCACATTCACCACAGGTTGCCTACCAAAAAGCACAATGGAGTGAATAAGGGGACCTAACGTCATACTCCTTATTGTGGGAATGGCCACAAAGCAGAGCATATTCAGATCAGCGCTGAACATTGATTTTATGCATTGGTATGGAGAATCTCTACATAATTGGTGGGGTATCAGCCACCTGGAAGGAACCAGGAATGTAAAATCTGAATGTGCCCTCATTTAATCCAGGAGAAGTGAAAAATTGCTTCAGATACACACCCACACTAGTTTTGAAAGCTCTAATGTACCGCGTCTATTTAATCTTTCATTTTTTATATACCTTTCCACGACATATCACACGCAAAATCATTGGTATGCATGAGGAGCAAATTTACGTCACTTGCATTCTCCATAAGCTTGGGCAGAGCATACATCTGCTCTGAGTGTAGGTCTATGTAACAGCATTATCACCGATCACAAATAACACTGTATTGGAAAATCACACAGCATTAGCAATGCTTATCATATTCATTTCCACTGCCTAATGATTATTTTAGTAAACATTATGAACCTGTGTCAGGTACAATGCCTTACTAACACCTGGAACAGAATTTTGATTGGATGTCTTGGTATAATGTTTGGAATACCATCCTTCATGTGTATGCTATTGAATTGTTTGTTAGAGTTCCTTTAATCTAATCACTTGGATATGTGATGAAAGATAGTATATTCTCTTTACAGAGCTCAGATAGAAACATAATAAAAATTCACAAGGCTATGCATTGGCCTTGGTATGTAGATGAGCTTCACTTCATACCAAGGTCAACTCCCAAGAATGGGAAACAGTGTTTTTTGCTACATGAAAAAACTGACAAATCTTGGGTCTGCATGCTTCCCCCCTGCTCCCCCTTTTATATGCTACAGGAGAAGGCAGGAAGTTTCTGCTTCCAGTGTTAAACAAACCACAGTTCCCTGACACATTCAAATTCGGAAACTGTGGCTTGCTTAGCCATGATTAGTGAGAACAGGGCACTATGAAATCACCATTTGAGATCCTGGCTTGTTCTTACACCATACACTTCCCATTATCCCTGACCACTGGTCCTGTTAGCTAGGGATGATGGGAGTTGTAGTCCCAAAACAGCTGGAGGGCCGAGTTTGGGGATGCCTGCTTTAACTAAACCATGGTTCTCCACATTCAGGTGTAGAACAATGGTGAGCTTACAGCTAGGAGTGGGAGCTTTTGATTGCCTCCTTATGGTAATGAAACAGGTCTGAACCAATCCAGTATCCTTTATAAAGTGGGTTTTTTGGGGGGGGTTAGCTCCCCCAGGTTTTCTAATTTAAGTGTCAAAAATATGTGAATAAGCAAACAAGTGCTTCGAAACACATATCAGGCATAGGCAAACTCAGCCCTCCAGAGGTTTTGGGACTACAACTCCCATCATCCCTGGCTAACAGGACCAGTGGTCAGGGATGATGGGAACTGTAGTCTCAAAACATGTGGAGGGCCAAGTTTGCCTATGCCTGACATATATCATACAACATGATTGCAACTCTCTATTAAATTTATCTTGGTGTAAAAATTTCAATGTTTACATTGCCATAATCAAGGGCGAGTGCTTCTTACACTTAGACTGGTTGCCAGTTCATTTCTTCAATGAGCTTTATTGGATGGAGAGCTTCAAAGGTCTGCCCAGGTCATGTAAAGCAGTGGTGGAATTTCAGTTGGTCTACATGACCATCACTTATTTGAAGCAGGCAATGGGGGATTTGCAACATTGCTGTAAACTTTGCACTACTCAGGAAAATTACAAAGTACGTTAAACTGGGAAGGCCTACACTCCCTATGGAAACCAGAGGACTAAATAATTTTATTTCCAGAGGGCAAAATAATTTCAGTGAAGAAAACCATGCAAAACTCATTTTGTTTTGTAGTAACAAAAGGAAATCCCACAATTTTGCTGAAGCACCATGTCCGGGATCAGAAATAAGAGACTGGTCTCATTAGAATAATGTTCTGACCCATGCAGACCTTAGCTACAAGGACTCAAACAGTTATTGTGTTCCACTTGGGGTATAGAAGAGAAAAACACTCAATCTCTTGGAAGAAAAACACTGTTATCAGCACCAAATGCTACAACTGGACAACAGAGCAGCCGGAATATAATCTTCAAAATACAAATGTTATTTTTTTCTGTAATTTCAAAATCAAGCACTTTAACCAGATTTTATGCTTTTGTGACTGTGCTTTGTCCCAACAGCTTTTATTGGCATGACCCAGCATGTCTACATCCCATTGATTTTTCTGGGACTTTAATGACCTTAACTTCACATTAGCTGAGCCCTAAATAAGCACCAAGTACAGTATCTCAAGTGTATCTCAGTGTATCATAGTACTGAATACATACTTAACAGTCTTGTTAAGTGTATCATTGTGAGATAAAGATGATCTTGGCACTGCACTCCTTGCGACAGTAACTATTTTCCTGAAAGCGTTGCTAGAAGAATGGTGTAAACAAGTTTTAAAAATCAAACAATTTTTTTAAAACGCCTATGCAAGTTTTAATCAGATTTGTTGCATTCATTCCCTTCAAAAAAGGATTACAAAAAAACCAACACAAAAAACAAAACCACCCATACTAATAATCACCAGTCCCCATTCACTCCCCTTTTGGAGTGATTCAAAGCTGCTGTTCACATTATTTTAAGTGAGGTTTGAGGTACTCTCGGAACTGGAAGCGGCACCACAGAAGCAGATTGATCCAGATGTACAGAATCAAAAAATCATATCCAGTTAACCTAAATTCCTATTGGAGAAAAATACATATTTCAGTACGTAACTTTTTTGGGGGGTAAACTTCTGCAATCGAAGGACTTCAAGATAGGACTGTATCGGCAATCCAGGAATTCTTTGTGTAAGTTGATCCAATAACACCCTCTCTTTGAGGGTGGCAGCTCGGCCAACAGGGCAAGCATGTCCACTCCAGAAATCCAGATGCGCACACAAAAAGCCCTGCAGGCCTAGAGCGATTAGCAGCAAACAGATTGTGTTGGGAGAGCCTTGTATCTGCTGGATTAAAAGCTCCCTTGCTTCCCCAACACAGCTATGGAATGTGATTGGACCCCAAGCATACATATTTCCCTCTCCCTCCACCCCATTGGTGTCAATCTGGCAGACAACAGTAAAGAAAAACTGTTTCGGGGTGGAGAAATTTACCCAACCCTAGCAGGCCTATGAATGTGGATTGGCTCCTCTCTACATCTATGTACACATGGTGTGTGCATGAACACAAGCACTTTGGGTTAATCTGCGACCAATCAAAGGGCTAGCAGCAGTAGTAATGGCAATGGAACTGGCTTTTATCCTAGAGGTTGAGCCAATTATATTAAGTATGATATTAAGCGTTGTTTAGTTCTGTTTAGATCTGTGCTGGATTGCGGCTTTGAGAGATTAGTCTCCAGAAAGGCAGCTCTAAAAGACACCACCAGAGATTTTGTATAATTACAACAAATACGAAGAAGGCGTCATGGTTTGGGACAATTTGGATGAAATGTGAATTATATAAACAAAGACCAGAAGTCTGTCTACAACATCAACAAAAAAATGAAAATCCCATAAATGAAGACCAATGTGTTCTGTTTTTTTTATATATGTATATATGTAAAAGAACACCCTGCAGATTGTTACATTATCTCTTTACTTGATTGCTCAAGCATTTCAAAGCCATGATCGTCTAAGTTCTGCACAGGCCCACTTACTTGGGCTTCCGCTCCTTAACGGGGAAGAGCTGCGGCTTCGGGATCGCTAAAAGACACACAAAACAGGAAAAATTAACATAGTCGGATTCCTCCCAACTCATTCTAAAAAGGCATTATGTTGTAGAAGCTAAATACAGCTAGTACCACTGGGGAACTTAGACTCTTCTTATACTGCAGTGTTGTGGCTCCTTCCCATGTTTGAAGGGTAATCTGGGACCTGTTTGGTCACACTGAAGGAGGAGAAAATCTCTATATATACTGCAGTTCTTTCCCAGATCAACATTACTCGGGTTAAAGAAAAGTGTGCTTTGAAAAATCTGGACCGGATGAGCAGCAGCTTCAAAGATGGCATGGAGGCCATTTTTGAATTGGTCAAGACTCAAAAATGGCCTCCACTTACTTAAAATTTTGTGCAATTCTCCTTCACTTTATGATACGTGTAACAACCAATATTCCCCTTATATGGTCCCTTATTTTGGTTTGCAGGCCAAAAACTAGAATGGTGCTCCTGCACATGAAGCAGCCTTCAGGCATGGGTCTCACAAGGGAAACCTGAACTGTAAGTAAACATGCTAGTTTTTCCTGCTGTCCTTGCCTCCCCACAAAAGGAGACAAGAGGGGTGGGGAAGAGAGGCTTAGCTGTGCTCACTTTCCTGCCAAGCCTGCCATGGAAAAAGTGAAGGGAGGAACACAGATTAAATAAATGACAACTCATATATAGTAAGAGAAATGACCAGATTAACATTACTTAAAATGAGAGGTAATCCAATTTACAAATTAAGGAGAACAACAAATCGGCTTGAATCCTGCTGAACTGGTTTGTTTTTGGGTTCCGTGCTAATGTGGCTTTATTACTTAAGAAGATGGGATATCTACAAGGTCCACAAACCTGTATATAACTCATTTGCTCCTCCCTTTACTGAAGCAGGAAAACAACCCAGGAAGATAAGCATAACTTCCTGTTATGTATAGATTAGGAACTATGGATAATGGCTTCCAAACAAACCAGGATATGAAGCCATGATTTAAAGAAGATGGCATGTGAATCCTGGATTGTTTGGAAGTCAATACCCATAGATCTTAGTCAATACCCATAGATCTTATGTTCACACATAAGAAAAAATGATGGCTAATTGCAGCTTCCCAGTTAATTCCCCCACTTGTGGGAACAAAGGGGTAAAGAGGTTGTGGGCGGGTGCACAGAGATTGTACTATTCTGGTTTATTAAACCAGGATATGACTGGTTAAACCAGACCATAGATTAACGTTGCTGAGGAATATCCATTTTTTATTCCCTCACATTGTGCCTTCATCGCCACAGACAAGTACATTCAGCCTGTTAATAGTGGTGATTGAGTCACAAGGATTTAGCAGTGTGCTGTATACTGTTAAAATTTACTTCAGAGAGTACTGAGAAGCTTCTGAAGGAATAGAGGGCTCCCTATTTCATATGTGCATATAGTATGCACAACATCAATGGTAAATTACAGAATGGCAAATCCATTAACCTAAACAGCCATGAGGTCGAAACACATGCTGTGAACACACCGTGTTTTTATTCATGGATTAATTCACGAATGTTGATCTTTTACTTATTTATTTTCTTACTTTTCTTACCTGCCCTTCACTAGATGGTGCCAGAACAAGTTACAAGAATATTACAACACAATATTAAAATCAGTTAAAACAATTTGCAACTAGAAGAATAGGGTGGGTCCTAAAAATCTCTCTCTCACGGGCCAAAAACCACAGCAAAAATATGCATCTTCAGCATATGACAAAAGCTATACAATGATGGTTTCAGATGACCTTCTGTGGGGAGAGAATTCCACAGCATAGGGGCTGCCACAGAGAATGCCCTCACCCACCTGAACCTTTGAGGGCAGAACTACCAAAAGGACCCCCTCTTCCAAACTAACACCTGATAGGATCTGTAGGAAAGGGGGTGGCCTTTCAGATATTTTAGTCTTAAGTCACTAATGAGAACAGCTTGAATTGGGCCTGGAAACAAACAGGTAACTATTGCAGCTCTGTTAAAACATCTAGTCTGGAGGTCACCAGAGCATGGAGTACAGTGACCAATTAATCTGTATCCAAAAGCTAGTGAACCAGCCATAGCTGGAAATAAGCACTCCTAACCACTGAGGACACCTGTGCAATGTTGAATCCAGTAGCAATCCCAAGCTATGTTATCTGCTTCTTCCAGAAGAGTGAAACCCTGCCTGGAACAAGAAATCTCCCCATCCCTTGGACCTAAGAACTCAGAACTTTCTTATCAGGATTCAGTTTCATTTCATTGGCTCACATCCAGCCCATGCAAGCATCCCAGGACCAGTCTAGCAACTGAACCACATTTCCTGATTACAGGTGGAATGGAGAGACAGAGCTGGGCATCACTCACATATTGAAGAAACCTCACTCACGATGTCAACCCCCATCTGTTTCAAACAGATGTTAAATGATGTGGGGAGCAAGGTGGAACCGCCCAGGGCTACTCCCATGGCACCAAAAATTGGGCCTCCATAATTATTTTATGGAAACAGCCCCCAAAAGAAGGAGTGGGACCACTGTAATACAGTACCTCCCACAAACCACACCTCCCAGAGGTGCTGCAAAAGGATACTGGTCCAATGATATCAAAAGCCATAGAAAGATAAAGGAGAACATAAAGGCCTGTACTCCCCTCTCTCTTTCCAGACACATGTCATCAGCCAGAATAAACAAGGCAGATTTGGTACTACGACCATGCTTGAAATTGGACTGAAATTGGTCTAGTTTCCTCCAAATATACCTGTCAGGGAACTGCCATCGCAGCCAGGAGTGGAGGAAGGGCTCCCAAGCGATGCCGGAGAAGGGCCCAGCAGGGAAAGAGGGGACTCAGCGGCCGGGGAAGGAAATCAGCGTTACACCAGGGAGAAAGGCGGGCAGAGGCGGGCTTCGGAGAGATGGCTCCAGGACTCTTCACCAGAGACCAGCGGGGAGAGCACGGGTCCTCCACTGCCCACACCCACCCTGCGCAGAAGACTTCCGCACAGGGAGGCTAGGCGGAGACTATCCGTCAAGGAACTTTTATGTTGGAAGAAGTTCAGGAAATGCCCACTGACGGATTCTGCCAGTGACTGAGACAGACGCGGAATCAGGACTGTCCAGTCAGGGAAAGGTTTATCCAGGCAACCTCGCCAAGAGTGGCGGCAACTTACGCACGAGCAACCCCCAATTCCCATTACAATACCCAAAACTGAGTCACCACCTAGCCCAAAAAGATATTCTCATGCATTCACAGACAGATGTTAAGGGATAGGCTTGTGCCCATCCTGTATAGATTGGTAAACACATCTGTCTATACTCCCCTCCTTCACAAGTAAATCTCCAAGCTTTTACCATGCTGAACCTGCCCTCATCATTCAATGCTCAAATTACAAAGGGGCATACGTGCCCCCCTCAGCCCCCTTTCCTTTTTGCAATACCTCTCATTTACCACTGGCTTTGTTTTTATCTTGGATTGTTACGTTGATCAGGCTATTCTACTTTACCAAATGTCGGGAGTGGCCTGCACTAGGAGAGAGGGGCCTCAAGCTACAGCTGCGGCTGCGGCTTCGGCTGCGGCTTCTGCTTCTACCCCTTTGAGACCACTGAAACAAAATATAGAATATGAGAAAAGGTATATTAAGCAAGCAGCAGTCACTGTGGTTACATTATGTGAGAGGAAGCCTGCTCTCCGAAAGAATAGGCTGGATTTGCATGACTCTAACGTGCTTCCCAGTTAAAGCCTCATGTGCGGGCAGAGGGCCTTCTCAGTAGTGGCACCCACCCTGTGTAATGTCCTCCCATCAGATGTCAAGGAAATAAACAACTATCTGACTTTTAGAAGACATCTGAAGGAAGCCCTATTTAGGGAAGTTTTTAATGTTTGGTGCTATTGTATTTTTAATATTTTGTTGGGAGCCGCCCAGAGAGGCTGGGGAAACCCAGCCAGACGAGCGTGGTATAAATAAATTATATTCTTGGGAGTTGTCCCATACACAAGCCCCTTTGAAATCTCAGCTCCTTCTGGAAACACCACTGGAACTACAGGTTGTGCAAAGCAGTATAACAGCCTACATTGGTGGAAGGAACTACTTCTTGATAACTGCTCCAAGCATATTCTCAGCTCAGTCATGAAAGGGACTGACTAATAAGAAACCTATCAATGTCAGTGTCATAATCTAAACCACTGTTGGTGTAATTTACAACATGCTGGGTTGATGGGTGCTGGGAGTTCAATTAACAGCTGGAGGGCCATAGGTTGCCCATATGTTAATGGGTAAGGTTCACGGTTCTTGTATTAACTTACAAGTTGCAGGATATCTTAGAGACTACCTTATACCCCAGCCCAATCACTCAGATCTTTGAGGGAGGCTCTGCTGATGGTCCCCCACAGCTTAGATGCACGGCTTGTAACTACTAGAAACAATGTGTTTGGTGTAGAGGCTCCAAGCCTGTGGAACTCTATCCCCACTGACATTAATCAGGCCCCCTCCTTGCTTTCTGTGGATGTTTTTTATGTACACAACTAGAAATGCAAATATAGTCATACCTTGGATCCTGAACGCCTTGGTACTCGGGTGTTTTGGCTCCCGAACGCCGCAAACCCAGAAGTGAGTGTTCCAGTTTGCGAACATTCTTTGGAACCTGAACGTCCAACGCGGCTTCCGATCAGAAGCCGTGCTTTGGTTCAAATATCTTTAATACGGTCAATGACCAGCAAGCAATTTGTGAAATAAAGTATGACATTATAAGTAATATTGTGCTACAGGTAACAGTGGGAATATGGCCAAATCACAGAATTGGTGCTTATGTTTATGACCAGGTTTCGACTTTTAAGGTTTTAAGGATTCAGTTCAAATGTCACTACTGTTTATTATCGTTCCTTCGATGTTTACAATTTGAACTCCGTTGCTGACATCATTGCTCGTCTTATTCTTGTTGCAATGTAACAGTACTTTGCCACAGGCCACAAGTTGATTTCGGGCTTTTTGTCAGCTAAGAGGTGTCTGATATAGGTGTCGTCTGTACTACGAGGTATTTTCCTCAGAATCGGCTCGATCAGCTCTTTTCTTGAGTCTCGATATAATGGACAATACAATATGACATGCCCGATGGTTTCGATTTCATTGTTGTTACAGGGACAGAAGTGAGTGTTCCAGTTTGCGAACATTCTTTGGAACCTGAACGTCCAACGGGGCTTCCGATAGGCTGCAGGAGCTTCCTGCAGCCAATCAGAAGCCGCGCTTTAGTTTCCGAATGTTTTGAAAGACGAAAGGACTTCCGGAACAGATTCTGTTCGACTTCCAAGGTACGACTGTAACTAGGTGGTATATAAATGCCTCAAATGCCTTGAATAAATAAAGACATCTCCAACATAAATCAGCCAATCGGTGGGACAGATTAGCAAACAGAAACAGATCTCTGCTCATGAATTTGCCCTTCTGTCCACCACACAGAAGGGTGTCGCACAGGGGCAAGAATACTACGCATGGGAAGGAGCTGGTGCTCCAGAATACCAGCCAGTTTGTGAATTGCTTCATTCAGGCATTTCTGGGATGGAATCTATGACCTGGACCCAAACTTTGCTTCTGTAAATAAAGCAAAGCTATGTTCACAGAGCAGGGCTTTTTCAGCCTCCTCCTCCCCTCTGCAGAGCCCTGTGCCTTGCCCCAAATCTACTCCTGGAGGTCAGAGGCCTTTGGGAATGGCTTGGGATATGTCGCAGGGGCCTGCAGAGGGAAGAGGAGTTGGCAGTAATCACTGCCTCGTTACTGGGAAGCAACTTAGGATCCAAGTCTATGAGTTTAAATCTTAACCAGAGTAATGAAGAATACTTACCACAGCGCCTCTTCTTGTGACTGCCTCTCCTTTCACCAGGACAGTATCTTCTTCCATCAGAGCAGGCCATACATGATAGGCCACCAAGGGAGCTGTAAATTCAGAGTCGTAGCTGCGACGGTATCTGGTGAGGTGCAAAGAGGTTTAGCTTACAACAGAGTTAGCAGTCCACATGCTCCTCTTGCAGTTACTTTATTCCATCTTCTTTCAAGTAATTCAGAACAAGGGCACATGGAGCTATACCAATTAACTTTTTTTAAAAATCAGGTGAATACACAATAAAACAAAAATAATAACACTCCCTCCTACAAACGCATTTAAAAGGCCATAGAATGTTAAATCAGCCAAAGGCCTGGTTATAAAGAATTTTTTTTGCCTGGAACCTAAGGATATGTAATTTTATTATTATTACTATTTACTGAATTTATATACCACCCTATACCTGGAGGTCTCAGAAAGGTTCACAGAAAAGAGCTGACATTCCACAAACAGGGAGCCACTGCCGAAAAGGCCTGTCCCATTCTCATGTTGCCACCCTCCAGACCTCTTGCAGAGGAGACCCATGAAGAAGGGCCTCAGATGATGATCTCAGGGTCTGGGTCAGTTTGTATGGAGAGAGGCGGTCCTTGGGGCATTGTGGTCCTGAGCAGCAATGTACGTACACAATGTGGCACAGGCCACTTCTGATCATATGTGTACAAAGTGACTAACAATAGAATGCACCTTGCCAAGTTTCTAATTACTTATTATAACTACAGTCATACCTTGGAACTCAAACAGAATCCAGTCCTGAAGTCCGTTCGACTTCCAAAGCATTCGGAAACCACAGAGCAGCTTCTCATTGGCTGCAGGAAGCTCCTGCAGCCAATTGGAAGCCCCACTGGACATTCGACTTCCAAAAATAGTTCAAAAACTGGAACACTCCTTCCAGGTTTGCAACGTTCAGGAGCCAAAATGTTCGGGAACTAAGCTGTTTGACTTCCAAGGTATGACTGTATTAAATAACATTCACAATAACCAGGCAAAAGGCCTTCTTGGTAGTGGTGCCCTCCCTGTGGATCACCTTCCCTTCAGATGTCAAGGAGATAAAGAGCTGCACAACTTTTAGAAGACACCTGAAGGCAGCCCTGTCGCGGGAAGTTTTTAATGTCTGATGTTCTACTATGTTTTTATATATGCTGTAAGCCGCCCAGAGTGGCTAGGGAAACCCAACCAGATGGGTGGGATGTAAATAATAAAGTTATTTATTTATTATTATTATTATTATTATTATTATTATTATTATTATTAAAATTAGCTCTAATTCAGCACGTGCAAACAGAATTGACATATGATTGGAGGCAGTAAGCTTTGAATATGCTTTTGGAAACCACAAGAGGGGAGAGGTTGTTCCTGTTCTCGAATCCTGTTTGAGGGTTTTTGTTTGTTTGTTTGTTTGTTTGTTTGTTTCGTAAGAGCTTTTCTTCTTTATATATATATAATTTTTAAACATTAATTGTCATACATTCCACAAAATTTCACATCTTATACAATCTTTTGGACTTCAATCAGCACCTCTGATGATCTCCCATTTTTATGATTTCTTCTGCATTTCTTACATTCATATTGCCTTTAATTATCTTAACTAAAATCTTCCTTTTCATCCAATAGTGCAATAATTCAAATTATTCCCCTTACAAAACTTCATGCAACCCTACAAATCTAATCTGATCATCACAATTACTTTTCAAAATGTTTGGGGGTTTCCCATAGGGATCTGGCCACTGTGAGAACAGGATGTGCAAGTCGATGGGCCACTGGGCTGATCCAGCAGGCTCTTCTTCTTCTATCCTTATGCACTGCCATGACTTTGGCACACTTTATTTTCCCCACTGGAAACACAAGACCGCATGCTTTCATTCCACTCACTTGTACTCGCTGAAAAGTTCTCCATCCGTACCAAAAGAAATGTCAAGCGGAGGATCCAAAGTCTGCATCGAAAAGGCGACGCGACACAACTCACGTATTAAGCCGCTGATCATGATAAAATCGGTTTCCGGTGGGAAGGAAATCTTTGGGTTGATATTCATTGCACGAATGACCTCCTGAAAGGAAAGGGACAGAAACGGTTCATTTTCTAGAAAATGCACAAAACTGAACTGACGGAAATTTTTGTAAGCGAGAGAGAATACAATTAGTGTATCCAAAGTGTCAATTGCCCTACTCATGCAAGTTGTCATATGTACATGGTGTTCAGTGGTGGTTTCTTGGGAGCAGGGGGGCAGGAAGGTATCATCTACACATTTCTCAAGTTTCATTAACCTAAACAGAGCGTTGGTAGGATAGAATGTTTTGAATGAATGAATCTTTATTTGCATCAGCCATTGGCCATAGCAATAAAACAACAAAACGATATACAAAGAATAGAAATAAAAAGTCAGTTATATAAAATACATTTTAGGGTTTTGAATCAATAGTCAAACAGTGGATCTTATACTGATTGCCCCAGCTAAAAACCTTGCAACCTTTGCTGTCATCTGCTCATCTTGATCTGCCAAGAGAAAGGACACTGTGGCAGTGGCTGGGTGACCCAGAATGGACAATAAAAGAGGCGATAACCTCATTCCTCAAGTCTCTATAAAAGAGTGCAAGCCAGAAGGACATGCGCCACCGATTTAGTACTGCCATCTCCACAGGGACATAAGCGTTTTTCGTGTGGAATCTGTTGGAATAGTCCCTCAAGTACAGCCAAGGCCAATACATTCAATCTTGAGAGAGTAAAAGTGTGTCTATATTTTAGAATTGCTAGGTTATGCAGATAGGGTGCCAGAGAGTCGAAATGGGAAGGTGGAAAATAGTCATATCATGGGCAAAGGGATAGAATGTTCTCACAGACTTACGCAGACGCTGGCTTGAACATCATACAGATCCTCCTGGCGAACAATGTAGTCCATGGCCATGTCTTCAAGTGATTCAGGCCCTGAGTAACTTAGGGACAGGGTCTTCCGAACACGCATTTTGAACTGCCTGAAGGCCATCTTTGCGGCACGGAAAGACTCCTGCAAATGATAACATAATTACATCTAAAAGCCCAAGAAAACAGAGGCCATTTGCCGTATTGGCCCGAATATAAGCTGCACCCGCAAATAAGCCGCACCTTTAAAATTGAAGGGGGTTCAAAAAGGAAAAAAAGACAATACCTGGGCTGCTTCCTGGGGGCGGGTGGAGCAGCACTGCTTTGCTGGTGGCGTAAGGTTGCGAATATAAGCCACATTTTAACTTTTCACGGTTGGAATTTGGGGAAAAAGTGAGGTTTATATTCAGGCCAATACAGTAAATTTTCTGAATCCTAACTTCACAGGTAGAGTAAGTGCTCCTCAATGCGATAATTCGTCTTATATAGTAAACCTGCTCCAGCTCCAAAGCTTGCATCTGGACATCCAATAATAGCCTTTGAGTCTTTGCAACACAAAAAGTTATGCCACCATATCTTTCTGTTATGGCGACACAAATTTATAGCAAAACTAACGAAGTATTCTCCCACTTCAAAGAAGAAAGAAGGAAGGAAGGAAGGAAGGAAGGAAGGAAGGAAGGAAGGAAGGAAGGAAACTGAACATGGTCAGGTAAGGAGATGAAAAAAAGCTGAAAGAAACTTATACAAAAGAGGCAATTCAGCAATATTCCAAGACAAGGCATAAGCAGCAGATCAAAAACACCTATAATCAAAAACAGCACCAGACAAAATCATATTTGGATGGAATTTGCCATCCGTGTGACTGTTGGGTTCTTAAATAAATAACAAAAAAAACCAGACAGTCACAAAGTGAGTTGGGTCTGCCTCCCCTCTGAGAACCCAGAGTTGGTTGGTCAATCTCTATGATATGGCTATAAAGAAAGCTTTTTAAAACCAGTTTGTAAGAGTATATGTGGAAGCATTCTACCAGCCTTGAGCCACAATTCCACTCTGTTTTATCTTCAAATGTGATCCCATTCAGTCCTAAGCTCCTCTACACCAGTACAGTGGTACCTCGGGTTACATACGCTTCAAGTTACAGACTCCGCTAACCCAGAAATAGTGCTTCAGGTTAAGAACTTTGCTTCAGGATGAGAACAGAAATTGTGCTCTGGCAGCGCGACAGCAGCAGGAGGCCCCATTAGCTAAAGTGGTGCTTCAGGTTAAGAACAGTTTCAGGTTAAGTACGGACATCTGGAACGAATTAAGTACTTAACCCGAGGTGCCACTGTACAAGTTTTTAAAATGAGACTGCTTGCCATATTAGAGGTTTACAATAACTTTCCATTTCAGCAGTGAGACCAGGCGCCAGAAACTCCAGCAATGAAAGAGAAGCTAATGAACTGACAGTGCAACCCTGTATATGTCTGCTCAGACCACAGCGAGTTAAACAGAGCTCCCTCCCAGGTGTGTTTAGGATTGCCAACTGATTGTTGTCGACTCCAGTTGATGTAAGAATAAGGTTTGTCTACCGCTAGGTTATGTGAGTGAGTGATTCTGAAAAGAAATATTGTTAAACTTCCTACCACAACTGCAGTATAGATTATTCTCTGAACCATCTCCAGATCGTCGACATAACTTCTCAAGAGGCTTTGAGCATCCAAGCGTTCCTGAGCATAAATGTCACTGAAGCGTTCCACAAGGCGAGCATGTCGGGAGGCGTTTGTAAGTCTCGCTCGTCCGGGTGAGGAACTTCTCTTGGGAAGCGGACTAGGTGATCTGCTTCGGATAGATCTCGGGGAAGGAGATCGGCTTAGTGCAAGTCTGTAACAAAATTGAAAAATCACATTAATGGAAGATCTTTATCCTTACAAATGTATGTTCTAGACCAGCGGTTCTCAACCTGTGGGTCCCCAGATGTTGTTGGACTACAACTCACATCATTCCTGAGCTCTGGCCTTGCTAGCTAGGGGTGATGGGAGTTGTAGTTCAACAACATCTGGGGACCCACAGGTTGAGAAAGGCTGTTCTAGACCAAGGGTAAGGAACCTGTGGGCCTCTCCCATCAGCCCCAGAAAGCATGGCCTATGGTCAGGGATAATGGAAGTTGTAAAGGTAAAGGGTAAAGGGACCCATGACCATTAGGTCCAGTCGTGACCGACTCTGGGGTTGCGGCGCTCATCTCGCTTTATTGGCTAAGGGAGCCTGCATACAGCTTCCGGGTCATGTGGCCAGCATGACTAAGCCGCTTCTGGCAAACCAGAGCAGCGCACGGAAACACCGTTTACCTTCCCGCCGGAGTGGTACCTATTTATCTACTTGCACTTTGACGTGCTTTCAAACTGCTAGGTTGGCAGGAGCTGGGACTGAGCAACGGGAGCTCACCCCGTCGCGGGGATTCGAACCACCGACCTTCTGATCGGCAAGTCCTAGGCTCTGTGGTTTAACCCACAGCGCCACCCGCGTCCCTAATGGAAGTTGTAGCCCAGCAATAACTAGAGGGCCATAGGTTCTCCATCTCTGGTTTAGACTATTATCTCAAGAAGCAGAATTTAAAGAAAGAGAACTTTCAAAACCAGTTTATTCATTAAAGATGATTGTTGTTATGCCTGGAGAGAGACCTGTATTTTTCTTTGCTTACATTACTCTATAAAGCATTCTGCAAACTGATGCTATCATCATGAAATAATGAGCTACAGTGTCTGAAATGCCTGAGCTACAATTTTTTTTCAGTCTCAACAATAGAGTTGAGATATCTAAAGTCCCCCTTAGATAACTTGAAGCGTAGCATCTCTGGAGCCAAACCACAACAGGACAACAGACAACAAAGCAGTTCACATAATGCAACTTATCCCCTTCCTTCTCTCCCCAAGGGGCCCAATGTCTTACCCAAATCTGCTCTGGAGGGCTGGGGAAAACCCCAAAAACAGATTTAGAAGGCGCACAGAAGGTGCATGAGGGAAGTTCATCTCCTTGTGCAAATGGTACTACTCTGTTGGTTTTAGTGTTTTAGTGGCTACTTAAATCAGATGAAAACCCTTACCTGTTTTGGAGAAGAGATTTTTGAGCACCAAGGATGGCAATCTCATCCTTCAGGGTTTGAAGCTGCTGCTCATAATCACTCATCCGGTCCAGATTTTTCAAAGCACACTCTTCTTTTACCCGAGAAGCCTTTAGCCTTTAGCACACACACACAAAATAATTCTGATCAAAAGAGGTGTTTCTACAGCAATCAATATCCAGCTTTTAAACTATGATAGGTAATCTATTTGAAAGAGCTTCTAAAACCAGGAAGAATTTCAGAGTGATCACTATGCAGCAAGGGGAATGCAAAATGAAGTCTGTCGTATGTACATTTTAGATATAAACCAAGCACTTTTGCCCACCAAAAGCAATGCGAAATTTCTCAAATCTCTTTTCAAGTTGTAATGCCACAAAAATAGGTTTAGGTATGTAATTATGCAGTATAGTTGCTTAGGGTATATATGTTACAAGCCAAGAACTTCCTCATCCTGCCTCCTTCTGCTTCTCAATCTCTCTTTGGGGTTTGTTACCAGAGACCATGGCATCCTTCTGGACCAGCTCTGGGTGATGGGTATTTAGGGCACTGTTTTAGAATGGTTCCATTCCTACCTAGAAGGTCATACTCAGATAGTAGCACTGGAAGACTGTGTTTCAGCTCCATGATCTTTGTGCTGTGGTGTCTCACAAGGAACAACCTTGCCCCCAATGCTGTTTAACACCTATGTGAAGCCACTGTATGCACTAATTCTAAGTCAAAGTGTCATCAACATGCCAATGACATACAGCTCTACTTCTCCATAACATCTGAGTCAGGGGAGGCTGTGCACAAGTGGGGCTGTTGTCTGGGTGCAGCGGGGGGACTGGGTGATCACCAATAATCTGAGCTTGTGCAATCTTATTTTATAATATTGTATTTTTAACCTTTTATGACAATATATTTATGAAGGGAAGGCTTAAAAAAATTAAGTAAATAAATAACCCTTTAGCAAGAGACAGCTTTCAAACACACACACACATACACTAAAATATCAAAACACAAAGTTATACATTTTGTGTAGTCAGTGTATGGCAAAAACATGTGCTGCATATGTACAAATGTAATACATTTATATCACATGATCTTTCATCATTCAGTTATTCTACACTTGATGTCTCCTCTGTAAAGGGGGAAACCAACTCTGAAGAACAGGCAGCATTTTCAACAAGTTATAGTTATAGAAAAACAGGCTCACCTAAATCACAAGAACAGTGTCGTGTGTTTGACATAGCTTAGATAAGCTAATTTAAGATCATCAATGAAAGTAACTTGAACAGACTTTCATTTGGATTTGAGGAGTAACAAGACCCAAACCATTCACAGTACACAAGGCATGGCTAACTGATTTTCTATGCACATTGGCACCACAACCAAAGAGTCATGCATCTGACCTCAAACTGCCTCCGATTTGTTAGATGGGCACACTCATGCTTCAAGAAGAACAGAAACAAAATGCATCATAGACTTGAGTTTTCTCTACACAGATTACTGCAGATATAAAAAATGTGCCTAAGCTGCAATTTGCCAGGCAAAGATATGCTGAAAACCAGAGGAAACTATATATAAATGCTTGATGTGCTTAAAGACCATGGGGGCACATCTACACCACCCATGAAATAGTTTAAGAAGAATTCAGAGAAATGCAGATTTGCACTGAGAAGTTATGGCCGATATTCAATGGGAAAAACTATGGCAGCTCAACAAATTGAAAGTTGCAGTGTCAACATATATTGTTAACCACACGTAGCTAACTTGTGGCCTTCCAAATGTTGTACTATAAGTCCCATAATCCCTGACAACTGGCCAAGCAGGCCAGGGCTGATGGAAGTTGGGGTTCAATGATTTCCAGAGGGCAACAAGTTAGCCCCCTTACCGTAAACCAACTAAACATGGCCAGCCACACATGATTATATTTTGCTCACATTATAACCAAAGCTCTTTTCAGAGATTGGTACTGGGAGGAAGATTCATCAGTAATTGCCTAGAGAAGGGTTTCCCAAACTTGGGTCTTCAGTAGTTTTTGGACTACAGTTCCCACTACCCCTGACCACTGGTCCTGCTAGCTAGGGATGATGGGAGTTGTAGTCCAAAAGCAGCCGGAGACCCAAGTTTGGGAAACCCTGACCCAGAGCAACAGAAAATGGGGCAGAGGGAATCAACATTACACAATGGCTGTGTTTGTACATCCCACTAAACCATGATTTAGCACAACATGCACAAGTCGCAACACGCCTGAGCGAGCCCTGGGCTCCCATGGTCTTTCCCCTTGCACAGCCAGGAGGAAGAATTTGGAAGCCTTTCCCCCCACTCTTCCAGTTTCCATTGAATTTGGCTTATGACTTCATCCAAACTCAGGGTTGCTGTTTATTGCTAACTACAGTAAGTTTCAAAACAAGCCAGCTTCAAATCTTGGGTTATGAAGCCAGCTTGTTTAAATAAACTGTGTCTTATTCCTTGTTCAGAATCAACAACAAGCCATGTTCATTTCACAGCAATCCATTGCTGTGATGTTACAAATGCAACCACTATGACCAACCACACAAACATAATTCAAAACCAACTTTGCCAACCACCGTGTTTTCCTTACTCTGCTTTTAGCTGCACAATTTCATCCTCTGCTGCCAAAAGAGTGGTGGCGGATTTGGCCTTTGTGTCTTCAAGAGCCACCTGGGCTTCTGCTAAACTGCAAGAGAAATCAACACCCAGAGATACGCCTTTAATACAAATGGCACAAATTCTGCTAACACATTCAACAAAACAGGAAATAAAATCTTAGAAGGGTGTTTGCATTTGGAAAAACAAGTACACTGCAGAGCCAGTCCATCAACACATAAGCACATCAGCTATAACCACTGCAGCAGTAAACATCAACACCAATTCCAAACTCAGGGCAATTTTTTTATGCCTAGTACCCTATTATTTCAAAGTTCATAAATATATACAAGCATTTATGAATGGCATAGACAGATGGGAACAGCCAAACATAAACTGCGAAAGCCAAATCCTTTATAGGCCTACTTACATGAATTTTGCTTACAAAAGCCAGAATTTGTACACCTGCTGCAAGCATGTATTTCAGGTCACTTCTCTCAAAAAACAGCATTTGAACCTGTCTTACGCCATTGGCCCATTGACTCCAGGAGCAATCTTCCCCAGGTTTGATCCCTGAGATCCTTTAACTGGAGATGACTGGAAAGTGAACATTTGACCATCTATACAGTACAAAGCATAGGCTCTGGATTCATCCTAGCATATGAATTGATTGTTAAATCTGTGTCCATTCTTCTCACAGATTGGCAAACACCATCTAACAACACTGCTTATTCATTCCGCTGCCCACACACATACACAAAAGCAATCACATACACACTCCCTCCTCAAATCCCAATTCAATACATTAACTCTGTATCAATTCCTCATGTCTTCTTTCATATACAGGCTGTACAGAGAAAGGGAACCAATTCTTTCATACTGCCATGATAAACCATTGATGTTTTTTTGTGAGTGATCAGTGCTTTAGGGGACGCATACCCCTAAACATTTTGTGAATCTAAGTTTGACCTCATGGTGGGGCAGTATTTCAATATGAGTAGGAAAACGAGAGTACCCCTAAACATTTTTTAAAGAAAACAACAACACCGTGCATGATTATTAGAACAAAGGTGAAAGGACAGAGATACAACAAAGGTTGTTGAAGTAATTGATCTGAACGCGTCACACTATCAAGAAACACATTACACATCTAAAAGCAACTGCAATTTCACTCCCTACATTGAAGTTCATTCTGAACGTGTGTCAATAGATTAAACCGAAAAGCTGTCTATATAGATGAACTTTCAGAAACTGACTGGTTGCAACAGTGAAAATAAGCTTTAGGGGACTCATTTCCAGCGTTGTGAAAGAAGCCAATTCCATTCAGCTTTTAAAAAAGAATGCTATAGATAACGTATAACAGATATATTGCTTTATTCACCTGAGATTAGCTAAAATGTCACTGAAGAGCACATTACTGGTATATTCTGAAATAAAAGACTTGGTCGTATGTCTTTTGATCTAAGGCATGCTCACACAATACTATTCAAGCTCTTGAGTCAACATTATAGCTTGTAACCGGAAGTACGAGAAATAAAGAAGTACCCGTTCGTCTGGAAAACTTCTGCACCAAAAACAGGAACCTGTCCATGTAGCACCAACCTGTATCCTGGACCCAGAAACAACCTTCTGAGCTGCACTGACAGAAGGGGACTGGAACAGTTGAATTATCCTATAAATGTGAACTGTTGGGGGGTCCAGTATGCTTTATAAATTCATGTGGTCCACCTACATAAACAGTTTACAGGCATGCTCCTATTCTACATCTGTGGGGTCATCACAGCCATTACAGTGGTACCTTGGAAGTCAAACGGAAACCATTCCAGAAGTCCGTTCAACTTCCAAAATGTTCGCAACCCAAGGCGCAGCTTCCGATTGGCTGCAGGAAGCTCCTGCAGCCAATTGGAAGCAGCAGAAGCTCCATTGGATGTTTGGGTTTCAAAGAACGTTTGCAAAAAGGAACACTCACTTCTGGGTGTGCGGCGTTTGTGAGCCAAAACGTTCAAGTCGCAAGGCATTCATGAACCAAGGTACTACTGTACTTAGATAAAGATGCAATTAACAAAGTCCAGTTAGGAAAAGGTGGGTTGGAAATGTCATTGTGGATTTATTATTATTATTATTATTATTATTATTATTATTATTATTATTATTAAGAGCAGCTTTTCACCACCATGTGGTGGCTTAAAAGGCTTTCACTACAGCCACGAAACTGCAATTCTACTTATCCTTATAGTTCCAAACCTTAGTGCACGAAAAATGTATGAATGGAAAATAGTTAATTGTCCTACTCTTGTTGTACAAAACTGAGCTGTAAACGAGTGCTGCTCAGCTCTTTCTCCAGCTGATGTATTTCCTGGTCCCGGGTGCAGGCCAATTCCTTCATCCATCTGTCTTTTTCACGTGATTCCTACAGTGAAGTAGAAACACAGTGTGTAAAAGCTAGAAATGAATGTATGTCGAGGGGCAGGGAGTTCTGTTAATGTCTCAGAAATGTTGTGATATATCTTCCATATATCTTAAACTCATTTTAAATAAAGTGCTTGCATTTTATTCAGTAAAAGGAAACACAAGCCTCGGGAGAAATTAGCTTCTATCAACAATGTTTGTTACACAGCAAAGTCTACTTGAATATGGAGACAAGCCCCTCACCAATAAGAAATTTCACCTCTGAAGCATGCCTGATCTCCACCCCCCATTGTTCAGCCTGGACACTGAGGTCCAGCTCCAAGGGCCTTCTGGCGGTTCCCTCACTGCGAGAAGTGAAGTTGCAGGGAAGCAGGCAGAGGGCCTTCTCGGTAGTGGCACCCGCCCTGTGGAATGCCTCCCATCAGATGTCAAGGAAATCCACAACTACTTGACTTTTACAAGACATCTGAAGGCAGCCGTATTTAGGGAAGTTTTTAATGTTTGATATTTTATCACTTTTTTATTCTGTTGGGAGCCGTCCAGAGTGGCTGGCGAAACCCAGCCAGATGAGTGGGGTATAAATATTATTAGGCCAATATTTCCATTATACAAAAATATAAAACAGCCACTATGGAAGGCTTCCACAAAGCAGCTATAGATTAGAAAAGTAACAATAATGCATTACAGGGAAGTCACCTTCCACCTTCCTATGGGTGCATCTCTGCATCCAACCTATTGTAACACAACGTCATATCTGCCTTGAATGTGGCGTTTATCACAATAAATCTGGATATACAGTATATCTCTAAAACATAATCCTCCATTTGAAGCATGAACATCAACTCAGCCCCTCTTCTCAAGGGAAAGGAAGAGATAAGCGCAAGACTGGAATCAAAGCCTTTCTATCTTATGGTTTACCCATTCTAGGGGGAAAAAAGGGGGGAAATTACAAGTTTATTGTACCTGCAAGTGAGAAGAGCTTCCACAAGTGTGGCTAGAAAAACAAGTGCCCAGCCATGGCAACAGACGAGACTTTATTGTATCCACACCAGCATAATGTCCACCTGGGTCAATGAGCGAAAGAGAAAGGAAGGGCAATAAATGTTGATAAATATCTGGCCACAAGCTTACCATCACCTGTAATAAATATATGCACATAAACCATACATGCAGAGCTTGGAACAACCTCACCTTCTTGGCTTGTTTTATTCAGGATTGTGAAGAGCTGCCCCTGAATCATGGAGTTCAGTTCCATGATTTCACAGCATCGGGTCAGATTCTGATCACATGAGTTAATCTGAAAATTAGAATTACTTTGGTTACTCCAATTCTGCCAATATATTGCACCTTCATTATTCCTTCCACCAACGGAACTCAGTTCAATAAAAGCTATAATGCATCGCATTCCCTGTGACCAACAAGATAATAATATTGCATACTAACCAATAGATCAGAGGCCAAAATGTCATGGAATATTAAATCACACAGCAGAAAGTAAAGAGCTTAGGTATGCATATTAATCAGAACAAAGAAGTTACCTCCAGAATGTATCATATTTGTGGCCACAGTCTATCACTGGAATCCTAAGAGTAATTCCCAGCAAGCTGCAATATTCTTTTGGCCATTGCTTTACTAAGGAAATGATATGGGGCATATCTACAATACCAGCTGAACAGTATTACCCTGGGAACTGTAATTCCATGATCTAGAGATCTCCAACCACAGAATCAAGAAAGAAACTAGTGACCCATGGCTTGTACTTCTAAAATGGAATTCAAAGTCATCTTTGACTCTGCACACACATGGGTTGTCACTCCCCACCAGAGCTGTCAACTTTCTCATTTTCTTGTGAGGAATCCTATTTGGAATAAGGGAATTTCCCTTAAGAAAGGGAAAAGTTGACAGCTATGCTCCCCACCACAACCCCAGTATTTCTACGTACTATTCCCGTTTGATTGTCAATCACAGTGAAGATCACATTCAGTTTAGATCTGGATGTGGCACTCCGGACAGCACAGAAACCTTTTTCTGTAACAGAATTCTTAGCACCTTTGCTATGTGCCTACAGATCTATACCAACGTGCTTTACCCCTGCAAATGTCCATGCCTAACATGTATACATTCATGCTCACTTTACTTCTAGTGTGACTTCTCTCAAGAATAAAAATCAAGTTCAGAGCTATCTGTTGCAGCCAATAATTTTTTGGGGGAAAGAAAATCTAAACACACTTCTGTCCAGACAAATCATGGGATGGTTTTTGACTCCTTTACTGAACTACCACATCTTGCATGAGAACTCAAGGAATAATAGCATTAGCCACCACAGCTCAGGGGTTACGGTTTGAAGTGACCACAGTGGAAGGGGGGAAAACTGGTCTGAATGTACACTTACTTAATATGCCACACAGATCCTTAGCAGAGGAAGCTGTTCATAGTTTAAACCTTATTTTTCAGTTACTATATGTTTACATTTAATTTTTCTAATTCCTGTGTAGTACAATATAAAAAGTCCTACTGCCAGGCATGTTTGTGTTTTGGTCGAAGATCTTACCAGGTGCCACATTTTGCATTTATAGATAGCTTTTGGAAAGCATGTGATCTATACAATCTTATGCCAGACTTTATTCACACACACATGCTAGTTCCTTCATGACTTATGGCATCAGGTGATAATCTGCATGTGTAAACAGACTGCCATGGGTACACCACCAGAAACAGAATTGAAATATCACACCATATAGCACAATGCTTTTTCACTTGAACCAGTTCACATATTCTGCTGTCTGCCGTCCACAGTAATCAGGTGGCATACATGCATATGCAAACTATTCCCAAAACTTCTGTTAGATCCAGCTCATATAAAGTCAAACACTGTGCTGGACACATCATGCATCCAAAAGCCACTACTCTGGAACACAAAATGTGGACACAGAAGTTGGAGGAGAGAGAGCCAGTAGAGGAATGTAGGCTGGAAGGTGCTGGTAATAATCATTGGTTTCTACTGGTGAGAAAGCAGGGAAATGCACCATGGTGATGTAAATTGAAGTTACAGGGAGAACCAGTACTGGGCTGCTGTTTTTGGCAACAGCCGCATGTGTACCATTATCATTTTAGTTCCAGCCTTTGCCTGGAAAGATCAGGGTTCAAATCTCAGCTATTAAATCCACTGGGTGACCGTGGGAAGTTGCTGTTCCTCAGTTTGACTATCTCACAGGGTTGTTGTGAGGATAAAATGGGAGTCGCCATTTACGCTGGCCTGAGCTGCTTGGAGGTAATAGGAGGATTAAAAATTAAATGTAGAGAAGTACCGTAGTTCCAATCTTAAAACAAACAGTTAAGGGTGTTAAATGTATAAAGGAAAAATAACGTGTTCGGGCGAGGGGGAGCTGTGATTAAGTGTAACCGAATCAAAAGACTCAATCACAGCTCAGCAGAGGAGGAGGAGGGAGACTTGAGCAATCCCTCGCTGCAAATCATTGCTGTTCTTACTACGTTTCCCGGGTAGAGTATCGTGGCGTTCTATAACCATGGCAACCACAACAGTGTCTGCTTGGCGCTGAAAACCGGCGTCCTTAGTTACTACTTTCCCGGGAAATGGTTGGAGGTTTCCAGCACACCACCAGCTCTGCCCTAATCTCCCGCCATAAAGCGACCTCTCCGCGCAACAAGCTCAAACTCACAAAGCTGCGTTTGGTTGCAATGCTAATCGTCTCCATTTTTCCTAAAGATGTTCATATCATTGTAGTTAAGGTTAGTTTCTGAAACGACCTCGCCGTTTCCTGCAGTTTTCACCTCGCCAGCTCCGGTTTTAGCAAGGGCCGGGTGGGTGGGAAGATGAGTTAATATTTTGCCTGGTACAGATTCAAAGGGGACAACATCGCAAATGCATCTAGCTGCCTCCCCTTCGTTATTAGCCAGAGCGCCGATTTTCAAAACACGCGTTCGTGCACACTCACGTGATAATCTTTATACCAGTTCTCCAACTTCTCCTGTAAAATCCTGCAGGTCTCGTTGTTGATCAGTCTTCTCAGGCTATCAGCCATGGCTCCCTTTCAAAGGTGAGAGAGATCAGGGGTGAATGGAGGATGGATCTAGAAGCTTTGGGGGAAAGAGACTTCCCTTCCTACAAAACCGCTAGCATCGATGTGCCTGCTTCCCGGGTATTTTCTTTTTAGCTGCCCTAGAGTATCAAAGGTGGGAAGATCGGCGAAGGGAGATCCGCTGCTGCTTGTTGGCTTTGCGCTGACCTCAGCCTTATTTCCCCCCTCCGCGAGTCTCCTCTATGATTGGAGCATTTTATACTCGGCGATTGTTAAACAAACTGACGTTTGCTTTGCTCGGCTGCCAGGGACGCGGCGGCTGCGCGAAGGGAGCCTTTTGGTTGTAGCAACGCCGAGAACCCCACCTCCCTCCTCGGCCCTGCCTTCCCGGTCCTCCGGGTCTGAACTCGAGGAGCCGAGGGGAATGATCCCGCTGGGTCTCTGCTGGAAGCCAAGAGGGGAAATCCTAGGAAAAGGAGCGCGCGTGTTTGTGTGGGTCTCCCTCCGCTAAATCAAATGGCCCGAGTTCGAGGGGGTTTCCTTACGCATCAGGAGATCCCCCACATGGTCTTCGTCTCTGCGGCCGCCTCTTCTCTTCCTGGCTTGCCGGCCACCTCTCGCCAAGCTTGCAACTCGCGTGTGAGGCACAGCGAGGCCACAAAACGGCCTTTATTACGCTCACCGGAGATGCAATTTAAAATAATAATGATGGGGGAAGAAATCAATCCCGCGAGGGCTTTGCGCATAGCTGTCAACTTTTCCCTTTTCTTGCGAGGAATCCAGTTCGGAATAAGGGAATTTCCCTTTAAAAAAAGGGAAACGTTGACAGCTATGGCTTTGCGTAATGGGCATTTAAAAGACCAATATAACTCCGGCCAGGGACTGTCCCGTCTCTTGGGAATCTCCATGCGTGCAAGAAAGCAGGTCGTCAGTGAAGAGCTTAGTAGCCGCTTTGCCCTCCCTCGATGGGTCGCACATGGAGTAGTTAAAAAATAATGCTAGATCACCTTTAGGCACTAAATGAACCAAACCTAGTTGCTCATGCGCTCCTTCATCTTCTCCACTCTCGATTTCACCTCCCACATCAGATTTAGCAGCAAAATATAGCTTGCGGTTACATTCAGATGAGGCAAAGCGTAGTTTTGCTGCTGAACCTCAACTGAGACGGGAAAGTAGAGCACAGTTCGTGTGGTATACTCATGAAAAAATCCAGTGGCAACTGTATCAATATTCTAACTTTTAAAAACAAAAGCCAGTCACTTCACTAGCAAAATGCAACTCTGGGTAGGTCTACACTCACGCCTCAATTTTGGGGGTGGGGTGGGATTAAGCCTTTTCCCAATCCAAATCCATACCCCCTTGCTTCCCGTGAAATGGAATAATAAGGCTTTCCATGGGGCTGACTTGGAAGATTGGATTTCCTTGACGCCACAAATACTTTGCCATGTGCCACAATGCGCTACTGTTCAAGAAACACATCTTGGTTTTAAGTCTTCGTTTGAAACTGGTTTGGAAGAATAAAGAGACTTTTGCACAACTTGTGGAGGGGTGGTGGAGCTTTGTGTTTGTGTAGCCAGTTACATGACATTGCTAAACTTCAGTTTTGAAGGGGACTTCTATCTAAAGATAGAACTTTTAAGTGGCAGGCATGACTGCCCCACTTTAGATTTTGTGCTTGTGTCATGTGCTTGAATGCTGGTTTTTACCCTCTCCACAAACAGAAGCTTTCACCAACAGGCAGAAGTTTCTTAGCTCTGCTATGCTGGTTTTCCATTTTCAGGGAGTTTCAAAGACATGGAGTTTTTTTAAAAAATGATGCAACTTTCAGCAGCCACTTTCAGCAGTGTATTATATACCAGCTCCCCCCCCCCCCGCCCCCTATGTTGCCTGACCAGGACTGACTCAGTCTAAAGAGAATGGGGCCCTCTGGTGGCACAATGCAGTATGTGCCCACTTGATCTTCAGATAAATACTGTATTTATTTTTATTTTAAATATATTGAGCCAACAGGTGCATTAGGCAATACAAGATATATTGATTTCTGAGTAAAACCTGGTATAGACAAGTATTTATACATATATAGACGCTGCCATAAATTTCCCTTCATGCGCATGACAAATGTCTTTTTTGAAAACACCCCTCCCCGATATTTCCTTAAGGGGTTTTAGAACATTTTTTTTTTGGGGGGGGGGGAGTTTGAATGCCAGGCTCCCACTCTCAGCTTTGGCCACTAAAATTTGTAAGAAGGAATTTCATAGTGAGGGGAAAATATGTCTTTTACTTGTTTACTTCACATGTTCCACCCAATGTAATTTTTTGTTGATTGTAGGTTACTTGCCCACCTAGCAGTTCGAAAGCACTCTTAAGTGCAAGTAGATAAATAGGGACCGCTTTATAGCGGGAAGGTAAACGGTGTTTCCGTGTGCTGCGCTAGTGCAGGCTCGCCAGCTGCAGCTTCGTCACGCTGGCCACGTGACCCGGAAGTGTCTTCGGACGGCGCCGGCTCATGGCCTCTAGAGCGAGATGAGCACGCAACCCTAGAGTCGGACACGACTGGCCCGTACAGACAGGGGTACCTTTACCTTTTTAGGTTACTTGCACGGGTCCAAAATGTGTGACATCACTCCCAACTTCTGAGTAAAGATTTGCATGTAATAATAATAATAATAATAATTTATTTATATCCCGCCCATCTGGCTGAGTTTCCCCAGCCACTCTGGGCAGCTCCCAATTGAGTGTTAAAAACAATATAGCATTAAATATTAAAAACTTCCCTAAACAGGGCTGCCTTCATATGTCTTTTAAAAATAGGATAGTTGTTTATTTCCTTCACATCTCATGGGAGGGCGTTCCACAGGGCGGGCGCCACTACCGAGAAGGCCCTCTGTCTGGTTCCCTGTAACCTCGCTTCTCACAGTGAGGGAACCACCAGAAGGCCCTTGGTGCTGGATCTCAGTGTCCGGGCTGAATGATGGGGGTGGAGATGCTCCTTTAGGTATGCAGGACCTAGGCCGTTTAGGGCTTTAAAGGTCAGCACCAACATTTTGAACTGTGCTCAGAAATGTACTGGGAGCCAATGCAGATCTCTCAGGACCGGTGTTATGTGGTCCCGGCAGCCACTCCCAGTCAAGCTGCCACATTCTGGATTAATTGCACTTTCTGGGTCACCTTCAAAGGTAGCCCCATGTAGAGCGCATTGCAGTAGTCCAAGCGGGAGATAACCAGAGCATGCACCACTCTGGCAAGACAGTCCGCGGGGAGGTAGGGTCTTAGCCTGCGTACCAGATGGAGCTGGTAGACAGCTGCCCTGGACACAGAATTAACCTGTGCCTCCATGGACAGCTGTGAGTCCAAAATGACTCCCAGGCTGGGCACCTGGTCCTTCAGGGGCACAGTTACCCAATTCAGGACCAGGGAGTCTTGTCAGGATTCAACCTCAATCTGTTAGCCGCCATCCTTCCTCCAACTGCCTCCAGGCACTCACACAGGACATTCACTGCCTTCACTGGTTCTGCTTTAAAACAGAGGTAGAGCTGTGTGTCATCTGCATACTGCTGAACACCCAGCCCAAACCCCCTGATGATCTCTCCCAGCGACCTCATATAGATATTAAAAAACATGGGGGAGAGGACAGAACCCTGAGGCACCCACAAGTGAGGGCCCATGGGTCTGAACACTCATCCCCCAACACCAGTTTCTGGAAACGGCCCAGGAGGAAGGAGAGGAACCACTGCATGACAGTGCCCCCAGCTCCCAGTCCCTTTAGACAGTCCAGAAGGATGTTATAGTCAATGGTGTCAAAGGCCGCTGAGAGATCCAGCAGAACTAGGAAACAGTTCTCACCTTTGTCCCTAGCCCACTGACAATATGGCACCAAATAAAAGCATGATCTATTCTCCATTTTAACATGAACACTTTACTTCCAAAAGAAGACACGAAGTCAGTGTAATTAAAATCTACTTTAACAACAACAGCAAAAGTTTTATTAAAAAGAAAAGAATTAACACACCAAATAAAGGAAGTGAAAATATATGGAAGGCCAGCTTCTGTTCTGCCTATTTGCAGTATCTGTCAGCTTTCAATTTTGATCTCCTGCAAGACAAAGTGGGGTAGGGAAAAGGCAAGGTAAAATGATTGGTACATCTAAGTAATACAACTGTCAATAAAGGAGAATTAGTACTGGCACACTTTTAAAAGCCAGAGGTTGTTCATTATTAATTTCTATTTAGGGCAGGAGTGGCAAATTTATTTTGGCTCAAGGGCCATATTCCCCCTTGGACAACTCTCCAGGGCTGCATGCCATTGGTATGTGATGTCAAAAGTGGATGTAGCCAACTCACAACTTCACACAGAACTTATAAGAAGCTACAGTCCTGTTAGCTTACCATCTCTTTGCCATGTAAACTGATGGAAAGCATGATTAAAGTTAATAAAAGACTGAAGCACATTCTTTCTACAGTGCTAAACAGCTCTGTTAATAGTCACCTTAAGTCTGATAATGCCATTATCGAGATCGTACCGCATATGGACAAAGAATAAAAACAGCGATGAGTATGTACGTTTCAGTATTGAAGTTCATTATACACAGGCACCACTCATGATAAGAGTTTACTTTTAAGAAGGTAATCAGCCATGGGTTGTAATGCTCAATGGCACTCAACAAAATGTTTTTAAAAATCCCTCTTGGAAGAGCTTTGAATAAGTAACAGTTGCAGTAGCAGCTGCATGTAAGTATAGCTGCGTGAAATCTGCCAGTATACATTAGTACCTTTTGTAGAATACGGCAGACTAAGGACAAGTTCATATCCACATGGCCACCATCTGACAACTGCAACATCAAGGGATGGATGTGCACATGTGAAGCAGCCAGAGCTCAAAACAATCCAGAGCTTTTCCATCACTGGAGGCCACCATCCAATATCAATGCTTTACATTCAGCTGAGCCCTTGTCTACACAAACATCCAGTTAAATAGTTGAACTGTTGCATTGCTTCACAGTGGAAGCAGCATCAGCTGCACACATGAACACTCCCCTATGGGAAATTAGGAACACCTCATGTAGAAAGAGGAGAGAGCAAAATATAGTTTGAAGCTCAACATCAAAAAAACAAAGATCATGGCCACTGGTCCCATCACCTCCTGGCAAATAGAAGGGGAAGAAATGGAGGCAGTGAGAGATTTTACTTTCTTGGACTCCATGATCACTGCAGATGGTGACAGCAGCCACGAAATTAAAAGACGCCTGCTTCTTGGGGGAAAAGCAATGACAAACCTAGACAGCATCTTAAAAAGCAGAGACATCACCTTGCCGACAAAGGTCCGTATAGTTAAAGCTATGGTTTTCCCAGTAGTGATGTATGGAAGTGAGAGCTGGACCATAAAGAAGGCTGATTGCTGAAGAATTGATGCTTTTGAACTATGGTGCTGGAGGAGACTCTTGAGAGTCCCATGGACTGCAAGATCAAACCTATCCATTCTTAAGGA